TGTTGACAAAAATATCATTAAAAGTTACTTTTTCATTTACTTACAGTTGACAGTAATGTTGATTTGTTGACTGTGTTGTTTATTATTATTATCAACATTGTTTACTAAACATGTATAAATTCCAGCATGTTTTCTGTTGATATTAGTGAGATTTAAAACACCATTATTAGTAGATATTAAATTATTATCTAGAACAGATCCTTTATACCAGTTTATATTACATGGTGGATAACAGTCAGCTGAACAGGTTATAACATCCATATCATCACCTTCTATAACTTCTCTATCAGTACTTGGTGGGTTAATCTTAACCACATCTGGTCCATCTATAAGGAATGAAACTTTTCTGAAAACTAGCAGTTGTTCTTGGTAATGTTTGCGCATTATTTGTTTGAGAAATGAATCTGGTGTCCACGACTCCTTTAATATCATTTTCCAAACATTAGTTCATTTATTTTTACAGTTTTTCTTCTTTTTAGAATTATTTCGTTTTAGTTTTTAAAAATTATATTTCTGTCTGGAAAGCTGGGATCATCAACATAATTACTCATTCGATATTGAAATGTTATCGTTTAATTCTCTGTCGCCAACTGGCCAATTAACAGTTTACAGATGCCCCTATGTAGATCCGTTTTTTTTTCTTTTTAGAAAATTTCAAAACGTAGTAATGATGTCCAACATCTTGTTTTAAGTATTTATCCTAGAACACTTTTGCGCTTTTTCTTACTAAAATTGTTGACAAAAATATCATTAAAAGTTACTTTTTCATTTACTTACAGTTGACAGTGATGTTGATTTGTTGACTGTGTTGTTTATTATTATTATCAACATTGTTTACTAAACATGTATAAATTCCAGCATGTTTTCTGTTGATATTAGTGAGATTTAAAACACCATTATTAGTAGATATTAAATTATTATCTAGAACAGATCCTTTATACCAGTTTATATTACATGGTGGATAACAGTCAGCTGAACAGGTTATAACATCCATATCATCACCTTCTATAACTACTCTATTAGTACTTGGTGGGTTAATCTTAACCATATCTGGTCCATCTATAAGGAATGAAACTTTTCTGAAAACTAGCAGTTGTTCTTGGTAATGTTTGTGGATTATTTGTTTGAGAAATGAATCTGGTGTCCACGACTCCTTTAATATCATTTTCCAAACACCAGTTTATTTTTTTACAGTTTTTCTTCTTTTTAGCATTATTTCGTTTTAGTTTGTAAAATTATATTTCTGTCTGGAAAGCTGGAACCATCAACATAATTACTCTTTCGATATTGAAATAATATCGTTTAATTCTCTGTCGGACACTGACCAATCAAGAGTTTACAGATGATCTTATGTAGATCCGTTTTTTTCTTTTTAAAAAATTACAAACCATAATAATGATGTCCACCATCTTGTTTTAAGTATTTATCGAAGCTCACGTTTCCGCTTTTTCTTACTAAAATTGTTGACAAAAACATCCTTAAAAATTATTTTTTCATTTACTTACAGTTGACAGTAATGTTGATTTGTTGACTGTGTGGGGTAATATTATTATCAACATTGTTTACTAAACATGTATAAATTCCACCATGTTTTCTGTTGATTTTAGTGAGATTTAAAACACCATTATTAGTAGATATTAAATTATTATCTAGAACAGATCCTTTATACCAGTTTATATTACATGGTGGATAACAGTCAGCTGAACAGGTTATAACATCCATACCATCACCTTCTATAACTACTCTATCAGTACTTGATGGGTTAATCTTAACCATATCTGGTCCATCTACAATAGATGAAACTTTTCTGAAAACTAGCAGTTATTCTTGGTAATGTTTGTGGATTATTTGTTTGAGAAATGAATCTGGTGTCCACGACTCCTTTAATATCATTTTCCAAACATTAGTTTATTTTTTTTACAGTTTTTCTTCTTTTTAGAATTATTTCGTTTTAGTTTTTAAAATTATATATCCTTAAAAATTACATTTTCATTTACTTACAGTTGACAGAAATGTTGATTTGTTGACTGTGTTGTTTATTATTATTATCAACATTGTTCACTAAACATGTATAAATTCCACCATGTTTTCTGTTGATATTAGTGAGATTTAAACACCATTATTAGTAGATATT